ACCACGACCCCCCCGCACCCCTCCCGGTGTCCCCGCGGGGTTCGCACCCTCTCGCCAAAAGCGGGGTCGCCCCCTCGCTGCGTGGGCCACAGCAGCAAACCCGAGGCAATGGAGAGCGCAGCCAAGCGAGGGAGCCCCGAAATCCCCCTTTTTTTTCTGCTGCTGGCCCTCCCCGCAGCCTCCCCGTACCCGTAAATAGGTGCAACCGTTCCAGACAAATGCAATTAAAGTTGCCCCTTCCCTGGATGGGAAACACAAGATGGCTTGGGGGGTGCACGCCTGTGCATGTTTTAAAGTCAGAGCGGTTGATGCTTACGCAAAAGGTCTCCTCTAGGGGATGGGTTTATAAATATTTCACCTACTTTAGCTAGGAAAGACTAGCAGTTTTTAGAACAGTCTTTCCAGGCATACCAGAACCGAAGGAGCTCAGCCATGACAGAGGGCTGGCTCCAGGCCCGTGCCCCAGGTCCCTCCCGGTGCCAGCGGACCCCACTCACGCACTCGGACGTCCTGTGACCCGTGCCTCAGGAATGCTGCTCCAGGGCTGCAGGTGCTCATTTCCACCTGGGCATAGCTTAATGTTTAGCTAATCCAAATTGCATCCGAGTCCTCATTCTTCCCTGTCTGTGGCATCCGCTGGAGTCTTCCCAGAGCAAGGAGAAGGGGATCACGTCCTCTTCCACCACCAAAGCGAACAAAGTGACTGTGGGCAGCAGCACAGAGCGGGTAGGCAATAAACCCCTGATTGCCCTGGAGGGAGAGCTCCTGTGGCTGTCCTGCTCCTGCACCTGAAGCCATTCAGCAATCAAAGAAACAGCTCAGCTGCCCGGAGGGATGGAGCCATGTTGTTATCCTGTTTTACTGATGGGGAAACTGAGGGCCAGAAAGGAATGAAGCGATTTGCTGACTGACACGGAGTGAGTCAACAGCATGGCCGGAAATCAGGTTTTATCATGTAATGATAAACCATCTTCCTTAATAGCCTGGATGGCAGGATGGAGAGGAGGGGGAGGCTGATGCACAGACCTGTGAGCCACAGCCTCAGGCTCTCCCTGCCAGGCGATAACTGACTTCAAAAGGCCACACGGCTGCAGACTATCTCGGCTTCTCTTTCCCCATCCATAAGTGGGGACATAACAGCACAAGGGAGGAAGGGTTGGGACAATAAAGGCCTTTCCATAAAAATGCTGCTGAGAAGGTCATCTCCTGCCCCCTTTGTCCATACATCTCCTTGTGCACGGAGCAGGAGTTACTTGATGAAACAGCAGATCCTTATCATCCACATACTAGGTGCCATGCCCCAAGAAAAGGGCTGATGGGGTTCCTCTGGACCACATTTTTGGTCTCAATATTGATCTTGGTTCTCCCTTTACCGGGCAGGGAGTCAGGAGACCTACACTCGACTCCCAGCTTCCATTACTGCATCACCATCACTTGACAGCATCAGCTCCCTGGGCTTTGAATTCCCCGACTACAAAATGGCTGAGCAATGATTTCCCCACCTTTGCAGGTTCGCTGCACCCACTCCCAGATGAAAAGGCAGCACCCAGGCACCAGAGGTTACAAACGTTAGTACAACCCCCACGCCAGCTATGACAGCTGACCCCGCTTTGCTAAGCGATGGCCTAAGTGCCAGTACACTCACTTTCAGGAACATGAGGCCATTTCATCAGGGATAACACAAATCATGCAAGAGATGCTTGCAAATAAGAAACGAAGCGTAGGTGGGTTAGTCAGCATAAGAACACACAGATCCTTTCTGGCTCTGCATACTGAAACCCAGATCCTCAGAGGTAGCTCATAAAAATGCAAGCCACAGGACTATGAGTATATGCAATACCAGAATTAGCTTCACGAGGAGGCACTTTAGGCTGTTTTCCAAACTGAAATCAATGTTGTACTTGCCATGAATCGAACACCCACATTTTTGCGCTTGCTGCAAACTGCAAAGTGAAACCATGAATGAAGGAATAGCAGAGCAGCACAATTGCAGAACAGCAGCGTCAGTCGGTGCGTGCCATTGCTGCCCAGAAAGATCCCGCAAGCATTCGAGAAACACCTTCCTTTGGCTTCCTGTGCCCTCGCACATTCTTCCTGGGGCAGCAAGAGGCACAGCAGGGTTTTTTTTCACATTATATCAGTCAATCTTTTCAACCAGTGGAGCAATTGCTGCTTTAAGATGACTGCTTCTGCTTTGCAGTGACTGCTCTATAGAGCTTCAACCCAGAAACCAGATTTTGCTCCCATTTGCTGTTGTGATGATGGCATCGCTTCTCTTAGCCCAGTCTCAGCACAGTGGGAAAATTAAATTCTAGTAATAGGTTTTCTAAAGGTTTCCTTGGGGCAGAACCAGCTGAGACCCCGTGGGTGGGCTTGGGACAGCGGGCACCAGGGGACGGGCTCCTTCAGGGCTTTCACCAGTGTTTGGGTTGGCAGCTGTGGCCAAGGGCCTGGGGCTGAGATACCACCGAACGGTTTTTGCCCTGTTCCCCTTTTGCCAAGAGACCACAAAGGGCAAATCTGGTCTGACACCCTCAGAAACCCCAAATGTTATCCCAGCAACCACACGCACGTGTGATGGGCCCAAGAGCTGCATGTGCATTTGGAGACAGGAGCACCGCTGCCTTTCAACAGCTGTAACTCAGCCCCAAAACCCCACTGCTGGGGCAAAGCTTGAGCAGATAAGAAAATAACGGCTGTGTATCACCGAACCTTACTGAGAAGAGACGTGATGCTTCTTACAACACAGGGTAAACTCGCCATACAATGGGTTGAATTATGCTAGGCTGCATGTAAGATGCTCAGCAACTCAGCATGAAAGGGCCGGGAAGCTGGAACACAAGAGAGGTGTTCACCTCGTGCATTTTGCGGTCAAGAGTTTCCAAACATGCTGTGTGATTTGGAAAGCTTGCCTCCACTTCTAGGTCAAACATTAGCCTGAGATCTTGGCCCAGTTATTACAGATCCTGTAACACTTATCTAAAAGGAGGAAGCACTCACCTACACGTTTTCCTACCATCCAACTGAAATAATTCACACACCCACTCCGGTTTAGCTGGAATCAACGTGCTTCCTCCTTTGCTGCACTAAAACTGCGGCAGAGGAAGGCGGGCTGCAATGAAATGACAAGGCTGAGCCTCCCGAAACGCACCTGTAATTTAATGACACACAAATAGTCTTGGTGAGGGCAGCAGGTATCATCCCTGCTTTGCTGAGAGACCCGGGGAGCGATGGGTGACCTGGCTTGAGCATCCTTGTGAGGCAGGGGGACTCCCCTAAGGGACACGGAGCGGGGAGGTCATGGCTATTTGGGCAGCCGGGAACATCCAGATGCCGGTGGGGTCCGCGGGCAGAGGATGCGGGCTGGGGCCGCTCGGTGGCATTCCCCCAGACCCAGTGCCTCGAGACTGGAGGCACGAGAGCGGCAGATGGAGGAACTGGTTTAGCAAACAGCTTGTTACTGGGGATCTGCCCACGCCGGTGCCTGAACGTGACTCAGGCAGGCTGGGTGCTGGCTGGAGGTGCAGCCCGGGGAGGGGAAGGGCATTGCCCCCTTCCCTAAACCAGCTGCCCATCATCCGCGGGCTCGCACCATGGGTCTGGCCCTAAAGATCCCATAGGACTCCCATACTCCATCTCTGGCTCTTCCCCGGGCCCCCGGACCCGGGTGGCCGTAGCTT